GCTCACGTCAACATTAGTGGTGGAAGAGATACTAATATGTGTTTAGCTCTCACTTCTCTTCACTGTACCTTAAGTTAACAGTAGTTATAATGTTAGAATAAAACGACCCTGTCTGACTGGTGTTCATTATATAACGTTATCGGTGCTGGGTAAGCACAGAGTCACGACTAGCTCCAGCTGACGGCTTACTTGTCCGCTCTTCATCCCAGTTTGTCCGGTGACCCTGAGTAGTTTCCACCAGTCAGCCACACTGGGAGTGAGTCGGACGGTTAATGAGAGCACTCTTGTCCCGACACACACACACAGATAAAGGACGAGTGAGCTGAGTCCTTACCGATAGCTGACTGATTCCCCGAATCCCCTTCATCTCCCCTGTCTCCTTCAGTCAGGACGCTGGAGCAATATGGCTGGCGTCAAAGTGCCCTACCCACAATGCACCGCGCGGTTGTCGTTCGCTAAAGTACCGTGGAGCCTGTGAGCGAGCGCCCCCTGCTGCTGCGGAGAGGAATAACATGTGGCACAACAACAGTATTATTTCACCACTTCACTGCTTGAGGTAAAAAAATAACCTTTAACTATAACATATAACATCACAGTTTGGTTCTGGTCACACTAGCTCAAATCCTCACGCTGCCCATTTCTCCTGCTTCTTGAGGATAAAATGTTCACTTGCTGCCTAATATATCCCACCCACTGACAGGTGCCATGATAACCAGATTATCAGCGTTATTTCACCCTGTGGACACTGCTTGAGGTAAAAATAACTTTCTTACAGTCCTTCAAAAATAAAATAGAGCTAATGTTTTCTATTTCAACAGGAGAATATTCCTTTTCCTCATCCCACCACCTACAAGAGAAAGGCTTGTGTGTCATTTAAAGTTATAGACACATTTTATTTTGTAACACATGAAAATATATAAATATATTATTTCTATACCCTAAACCCTGAAATAGTCCCACATATGTTTTGGTATTATGGAAAATTTTTCCAGGTTAATTACTGATTCTTTAATGACTATTCTTACTTTATTCTAGTAATGACTGAATATATACTGTTTAGGTTTCTACATAATAAATAATTACCAACAAGGCACATATCATCATCTTAAATTACATATACATGAATGTATATTCACAAACCCTAAGCCTATTTTATCCACAAAGAATTAAATATTGTACAACTAACAAAGGCTGCATTGCTTTTAATTTATTTATTTAATTGTTCTATGATACTTTAATCTTCAATTATTATTTTATATTAATCATTAATTTTGTGTTTTGTTTACTTTAACATTCTTACTTTTTCTCCTGTACTGTGTTGTTTACTTCCCCAGGCTTTTTGTGCACAGGATTGTTTTGCCTTTATAGGAGGGAAAAAAGATTGTACAACATAAATTAACTTAAAGTAAATATTCAGTTAATAAATTTAAAGTTAAGTTTATATTGAAGTTAAAATTATATTTTAAAACAAGACTGCACATACAATAATTATACGCATTTAAATACCAACTTAAAATATATCTAAAAACCATAAATAGATAACATTACATGTCTATGTTAAACACACACACACACACACACACACACACACACACACACACACACACACACACACACACACACACACACACTTCCTGTTGTTAGCTGGGACGCCAGTGCGCATGTGCTCTACCACACACGTGCAGTATACGTTTGGACCTGGTGCACGCGACAGAGCTGTTAGAGTTCGTAGAGATTCAAAAAATATTAGTCACAGAAAACAGACATTGCGTCTCGTTGCCCTTTTAAATACAGGTGAAAGAAAATAGTCCTCCGTGAAGCACTTCGCCGAGAGGGCCGGAATACCAGAAATAAACATTCACAATGGTGAGTTTCGGTTCTGAATGAACTAGCAAGCTAACAGACCAGCTAACTGTTAGCAGGCTGAAGGCAGTAACGTGAGGCTGCAGCGCGAGCTAAGCTTTAACTCATAACATGCTCGTGTTTTGTTCACTTTATATGCTAACTCTCTGTCCTGTGGTCAGTTTGGTGTTAATCGGTTTAATTTACCCGTACCCAGACTGAAGCTCAAGTGAACCCGAAGGCCTACCCGCTGGCCGACGCCACGCTGACCAAAACCATCCTGGACCTGGTGCAGCAAGCCTCAAACTACAAGCAGCTGAGGAAGGGGGCTAATGAAGGTGAGCGAACATACATCTGAAAATGTTACTTCTCTGTGGTTTCACGTACAAGCTGGTAATCTGATTACACGCCTCTGTCAGACATGCCTGTGAAACGTGGTGTCATAACACAGCTGGATTTACTTTAAAGCGTCTCAAATGAGTGTATTTAAAAGAGCCTGATCTCTAAAAGTAAATTCACTGTAGGTATTTCATCATTGAAGACATTATAAAAGCAAGATTCCCACTTATTTGCTGTTACATCATCTCAAATATTAGGATTAGTATGTTGTTTCTGTGTTCAGTCGAGGATAATGAGATATAAAGTGATCTGTTGTATTTCAGAATCAGTCCTAAAACCTCTAGGCTATCAGTGTAAAGCTGGCAAAATGTTTATTGAAATAAACATGATATATGTAATAATGCCATTACTAACGGTGATCTACTTCTTCCCCAGCCACTAAAACCCTGAACAGAGGCATCGCTGAGTTCATTGTGATGGCTGCTGATGCTGAACCACTGGAGATCATTCTCCACCTGCCACTGCTCTGTGAGGACAAGAACGTCCCGTACGTGTTTGTCCGCTCCAAGCAGGCCTTGGGTCGGGCCTGTGGGGTGTCTCGCCCCGTTATCGCTACCTCAGTCACCATTAAGGAGGGATCTCAGCTCAAACCGCAGATTCAGTCTGTCCAGATGGCAATTGAGAGACTGCTTGTGTGATTTTTGTTTTGTTTTTGTTACACTGTTGTGACAAAGTCTCCTTGAAGAAAAGGGGAAGACAAGTTCCAGATTGAACATAATTTTCTTTTCTGTTGGATAAAAAACAGTTATAAATGTTTTTTATTTTCGTTTTTTAGGACAGTGCTCCACTTCAGTGTATCAGTTTGCCATGGCATCTCCTGATTCATAATAAATTTTTTTATGTAAACCTGGTGTTCATTTTGATTGTTTATAGTGGTTTTCATTCAGATTGTGTAGTTGACCTTTAACAATATAAGCAGTGTCCAAATACATTTAATTAATATTAAAATGTAACATTTAGGAAGGATTATCAATGTCAACCCTAAGTTGAGTAGTTGTGGGAGTAGTTGGTGCAAATACAGAAGGTGTTTTCACCATCAGGTCACTAATAGCTGCGTGATGTCCAAACATTGACCTGAACTGTGCTGAGAGATACTAAACCCTTTGATAAACTCTCAAAATAGTTGACAGCAGCAAACAGCCTCACATGGCTTTACCTATTTGAAATAACCCAATATTTATAATTAAATATGTGTAACATTAAAAACAGACAGCAGCAAAATCAACACAAGGTCTTATTGTAAATAACTGTTGGAAAATATAAGATTTAGTACAATATATGTTGAAATCTTTTTACATGTGGATCAGCTGCTACATGAAAATGTTGCATCATTAATGATAGTGATGTGATAGGCATACATCAGAGGTACAGATACTAAAAGTAACATTGAAACACTCCACTGCAAGTAAACATAATTCAAAATAATACTTAAAAGTACATAAGTATTATCAGCAACATGTAAACCTGCTTAAAGTACGAAAACAACTATTAAATCTGCAGAAAAACAGGACATAGACTGTTAATACTGATGCATGTTACTGCTGTAGTTGGTTCAGGTGGAGCTAGTATGGTACATATAGTTAGGTAGTTACATCCAGCCAAGTTGGTGTAGGAGTCAGGCCCCTTCTGAAGGTTTTCAAATGAATTTGGGATGTTCTGAGATGTTTATGGAGAAGGTAAGATGAAAAAAATGAAGTTCTGCTTTACAAATATACACCAACCAGCCATACACAGCAAACTGTGATGCACTGTGTGTTCTGACACATTTCTATCAGAACCAGCATTAACTGTTTCAGCAGTTTGAGTTACAGCAGCTCGACTGTTGGATCTGATCACACGGGCCAGCCTTCACTCCCCACGTGCATCAATGACCCTGTCTCTGGTTCACTGCTTTTCCTTCCTTGGACCATTTTTGATAGGTACTGATGGTCTGACCCAGTCGTCTAGCCATCACAATTTCACCTTTGTCAATGTTGCTCAAATCTTCATTCTTCCATTTTTCCTGCTTTTAACACATCAACTTGAGGACAAAATGTTCACTTGCTGATAATCAGTGTTATTCACTTCAGTGTCAGTGGTCATAATGTCATGGCTGATTGGTGTATATTCATCGTTTTTATTCTCCTCAAATCTTTGCTTTTGAAATAAGGCCTATTGTGAATTGCCTCACACATTTACCTCATCTCAAACAGTTTGTAAAATGAACCCATCAGACAAAAGGCCCTAGCTAGGTGCTGTTTTTTATGTGTGTTTTATTTTTTTGGTAAGATGTTGAGAACCACTTGTTTAATCTTCAGCACTGATTTATGTTGTATAGTTTATTACATGTTTTTTAAGTAAAATCTGTTAAGTTGTAACTAAAGTCCCTCAAAAGTGTATGCACAGTACTGCATAAATATAGTCTATGTAACACTGACAGGGGGCAATTGTAATTATTTCTAATTCTTATAATTAGTTATTTCCTTTATAATACTTTTTACTTGTAGTCATTTTTATTCCAACACTGCTCGACTTTATTACCATCCAGTATTAAAAAGACACACCTTTTGGTTACTCTAATGTGTTCTTAAAGTTTAAAAATGTATACCATGTCCATCTATTCACCCTGCATCCATCCTTTATTAAGATTTATTTATTTAAATTGTACTATCAGGTAGAAACCACTCTCTCATGTCTATGCAACCCTCTCCTCTAACCAACAGTGTCTTAAGAGCCTTACTGCGGCTCTTGAATGCACCTCGGACACTCAGTCAGCGACTCGAACTTTGGACCAATCATAAAACTCCAGTTACACACGAGAACCGCAGAAGTCATAATGGCTGGACCCCCAGTTATCATATGGAGGAATGAGGTGGAGCAGCTGTTGCAGTACAGAGAGCTGACCCCCCGTCTGGAGGAAGCTTTGGGGAAATTCTCCAGGCGGGACAGCGCGGAGGTGATCCAGCCTGTGCGCACCACAGTGCCCCTTCAGAAACACAGCGGGTAGGCCTGCTCTGGACTACAACTGTACTTATTATCAGATGAAACATTAACAATCTGTTTATTGCGGTCTGATCCCGAGGTGAAGTTAGTTTTAAGGTGGACCCTCGACACATATTCACTCCGGATCCAGCCACATCCTCGGTTGCAGACAGTTTTGGCAAAGGGCGGTTGGCTCCCTTCACCTCCGTCCGTAATAATAATATATGTTTTAAATGTTCCATATAAATATTAATATAAAAGATAGGAAACATTGAAGAGTGATACAAGGAGGTTTGTCCTACTTGTAGAGTGTAGTAATATAATTCGGCATTGATTTTTAGTGATTTGGTCACATGACAGGGAAGCCATTGAAAAGAAACTGCTTATTTGTCAGTGATTCATTGATGAATCCAAAATGAACCCTGTGCGTAAGAGCCATAACTAACTTCACTGCACACGCTCCTTCACTCTTACAGCTTCCTGGGAGTGATGCCTACATACATGGAGAACGACGGAGTCCTGTGCACAAAGTTTGTGTGTTTCTACAAGAGGGAGGAAGGTTCAACTTTGCCAGCCACGAAAGCCACAGTGATGCTGCTGGATCCAGAGTATGGGAACGTCAAGGCTGTGAGTGAGACTAATGCATGCACAGATGAACTCTGGCACAGCACTGCACCCACACAGGCCAATTCATGACATGTTTCCAACCTGCAGGTCATGGATGGAGAAGTCATCACAGGCATGAGGACAGCTGCAGTCTCGGCCATCTCTGCTAAGGTACTTTTACATGGATTAAACATCTGTTCCAGTGGCGGACTCAAGTTGTTTGTGGGCCAGGGGTGGGGTGGGGGGGGATTTACCCTGGAGGTCCATTCACATTCCCTGTTTCAGGAGCCAGATGATGTAAAATAGCTTTTCCCCCCCTTTATATGGAAGCTATTTGCATTATTTTTTGAGCGAGTTAAGATAATCACCTTAAAATCTATTGTAGTGTGTCGTCTCCATAGCAACGACTCTCTGTATTTACGTTTTAACTGCGGGCTTTTCAGGTTTTTCTTGGAGGGGAGCATTTGTAGCGCTCCTAAAATATAAAGTGAGAATAGCGACAGTGAGTTACTTGCTGCAGTAGTTGTATTTTATCGATGAAATGATGAAATCTCTCGATAACATAAGAGGGTTGAAAATTTGGAGCCGTCCATAGGTGCATGGGTAAATTTTAAGGCCTGTGTCAAACTAATTGATGAGCCTCTCTTTTCTCCAACACAAAGTTGAAGTTAATTAAAATCTAAAAGATTCATTGCTTTTGAGAAAACATTTGGACCCGGGCCCCCCCCCCCCCCCCCCCCCCCGGCCCTGCTCTCTAACCTGCTCTGCTGTACTAACTTGGGTCTTTCCTGGTGTGTTTTTGTCACGCAGCTGCTGATGCGTCCTGAAGCAGAGGTGCTGACCATCTTGGGAAGTGGCCTACAGGCTCTGAGTCATTACAATGTCTTCACAGAAATGTTTTCATTCAAAGAGGTACGATTACAACAAATATCTTGTAAATGTATGAACAGAAAGCCAGCATTTATCGGTTTATGGCACAATGTTTGATAAGCACAATGTTTCCTAACACAACAAGTCAGGAACCAAACTGTTTTTATATTGTAATATAAAACAGAGGGTACAACTGTGGACAAAAAGACTGTCCCCAATATACACAAAAACCTTAAGATTTTCTACTTTAGCTTAATTTACCTTAAAGGTATCAATCTTCTCATCTAACTCTTGGTAAGAAAGCATGCTCACAGTTCTGTCCTAATTCTTGACTTTCTCATCGATTGCTACTTAAAATTGGTCTTGTGATTGTTTTATAAACATATAAAGTTTGGTTTTTCACACTCTACGCCACAGATACGCGTGTGGAGCCGCACAAGACAGAGTGCGGAGGGGTTTTGCCGTTCTGTCAGCGGTCCGGTGACGGTATGTGCCTCAGTGGAGGAGGCCGTGAGGGGAGCGGACGCCATAGTGACAGTAACCAGATGTACAGAGCCAGTACTCTTTGGTCAGTGGGTCAAACCAGGAGCCCATGTGGCAGGTGAATTAAAGATGTGAGATTTTTCAGATCTGAACCCTGGAAATCAGTCAGAATTTAACTTATTTGATATTAAGGCTGGTGGAGTAAGAAACATACTGTGAATTGTTATTTCCCAATGTGTTTCTCTGCTGTTGCTGAGCAGCGGTGGGAGCCTGCAGGCCAAACTGGCGGGAGCTGGACGACGTGTTGATGAAGGAGGCGGTGGTGTACACTGACAGCAGAGAGGGAGCAATGGCCGAGTCCGGTGACATCATCCTCTCTGGGGTCGGTCTGTTACTGTGTTTCCTGACCGGCTTGATAAGAGGACCGAGGTGCGCGTTACTGGCTCCCTTTGCAGAATATGTGTAGATAATGTGATTGTGGATCTCGTTTCCAGGCGGAGGTGTTTGCAGAGCTTGGAGATGTTATTAACGGGGTAAAACCTGCCCACAGAGACAAGACAACCGTGTTCAAATCCCTTGGTAAGCCCTATTGGTGAGGTAACCCTTTGTAATGTGGAAAGTACTCAATTTTTCCAATTCAGTACATAAAAAAATTATTAATTAATTAAAAAAAATAAATTAAAAATCTATTTATTCCTTCATGGTATTACGAGTAACCGTGACTTGTTTTTACAGGAATGGGAGTTGAAGATGCAGTGTCAGCTCAGCTGGTATTTGACCAATGGAAAGCCAAAGCCAGCCTACCATGAAGAGGCCATGTATTTCAACCTGACCTGTACTGTACACAAGCTAATCAAGATCAAGGCAATAGAAGAAAGGACAGAAAATGATATGAAATATATGAAAATGATGAAATGGATTTTACTTTATTTTATCCACCCTAATAAAATTAACCCCCTGCTCTATAACCTGATAAACCTGCCAAAATGTCCAAAGGCAATCTTGCCTTAGAGCTGTATATTTAATGTTGATTAATTGCATAGTCAATCAACAGAAAATAATCGTTTTGTTTAAGTAATTTAACAAAGTTAACAGCGATTACAGAAGTGCTAGCAACTCTGTGAGGCTGTACTTAGGCACGGCAAAGCTTTGAGCTAAATGCTTATGTTATGTTGACCATGTTCACCACTGTAGTGTGTTTGCATGCTAACATTCCCTAATGAGCACCAAACACAACTTACATGGGAATGTCTCACGTTTTTTGGTTTTTGTCATTAAAAGTGTTTTTCAAATCCTGCTGGTGGTGCTACAGGAAGTTGTTGACCAACTGATGTTTCTATCCAAAATGTTGTGTCACTGAAAACACATTAGCTGGTTCCAGATTTTCAAATGTGAGGATTTGCTTCCGTCTTTGCATTTGATCCTGTTGGTCAGATGAAAACAATCACCTTGAAGACAGAGTGATGGAAATGTTTCACTATTTTTAGATTTTATAGACATCACATTTTATACACTAAACAACAATGAGAGGAAGATCATTAGATTCTGTTTTATATACGTTCCCAAAACAGTTTAAGAAATGCTTGAACAGAAGATATAAAATACAAAAAAGCTTTTTCAATGAGTTTATTTGCTTTTTAAAAAAAAGAAATCACCATATTACTATGTGGAAATGAAACCATTTAGCAAGAAATTAATCAAAGTGTCCACTTCCACTGCACTATTGAAACACTGATAAAATGAGTCCAGATTTACAGCGGTTCCCCTGGCAACCATGCAATTTGATCATTGCTCATTTTAAAATAAAATGAATTTGCTGAAATGTTACTTCTTATGGTCATATTATACAACAGAGACGTTAAAATCAGTTGTTGCAACCTTCGAGTGCTAATACACTGGCTCATAGACTTCATAAAACACAGTAATAGATGGGGTCAAAAAGATATGGTTACGCACCATCATGATAGCACTATGAACATCATATATTGAGAATAAAAGCCTGACTATCCAAAGCACTTTCTGAGCATACATTCAGTGAGAATGAAATGATATAACCTTTACAGATACACTGAGAATGAACCAGCACAGCATTGGCTGCACTGCACCTTCACATGCCCGACAGTCAGTCATAAAATACTGAGTGTTCACTTAACACGTAGTGAGAAGTGAGCAATGGATTCAACTAGAAAGCGTTTAGGAACAAAACAAGATAATTACGTGTTAAATATCTAGCAGAGACTGTTTTAAAGTAATTACTACTTCTCTTAGCAGCTGCTACGACAATTATTACGTCATTTAGGAGTTAAACCGTTTCTACGTGACTGCATGATGGTATCCTGTACAGATTAAAAACAAAATTAAACATTTTAGTGTTCGTGGATGTACTACAAAGCGATGACCGTGGACTGAGTTTTGGCAACACCTCAGTCTAGTCAGATGACACATGTAAACAAAACGGTCCGTCAACCACAGCTGACAAGAGACTGACAATGAAAAAAGGAGAAATTAGAGCTTCTAAAAAAACATTTTTTGTCATAAAGTAAAATTTCATCAAGGCAGCAGGAATCTCTTAGTGTGTAGGGAAAAGAGTGCAGTGCAGGACCTCCTTCTCTTATGGAGTTAGATCTACGGTAATTTTGTGATAAAATCGAGTTCATGTAGTGTTTCATCACAATGTCTGAGAAAAATAACAAGAATGTTTGTTTTTGTAAAATCCTCCCTCTTTCTCCTTCATCACCCGAGATCACAAATCAACCCCCCCCCAACTTCCCCAAGGCCTTCGCAAAGTCACTTCATTCCTGTCAATCTGAAAGGACTACACAGATGTAAGCAACCAGACACGAGATCAGACAGAAAACCTGTGCTGCTTAATTCTGTGAAGTTCTTTCAGATGGAAGTCTGATCTACCAGAGCTTCTATGTAAGCAAGGACACAGGGGGTGAATAGATATTTGGGGAACCCAGCCATAATCCTCTTCCCTCTGAGTAGGCGAGTTCTGACTGCAACCATATTTTCTACTCCCTGTGGTTCTCCATTACAATATTCTGCACTTCCTCTTCCTCTTCTTGATGGGTGGGGGGCACAGGACCGCCCTGATGGCTTCGTCAAACACCGTCTTGAGGCCGCGCTGCGTCAAAGCTGAGCACTCCAGATACTTCACTGAACCTGGCGGGGCAGAGGAGAGGGAAACCGGAAAAGCGGAGACACACGTCAGCTAACCACCTTGTTTATGTTTGCATGGCATTCTAATACAGTCTGAAAAAGATTTAATAATTATATATGAGCTTGTCTGAGGTGAGTATGACTGAACACGGTAAAAGCCAAAACAAAATCTTTAAACAGTCTAGACTATGTATGGTTTCAAAACAAATATGGCTTTTTAATATCCTCTAAATGGGAGGTAGAAATGGATCTAAATGAATTTAACAACCAAAATGAGCAAACAAATGCTTTCACAACCACCTTATCCAATAATACAGTGGTAGAAAACTAGAAATTATTACATTAAAAGAGAACCTCATGCAACCTTCTGTCGTATGCAACAACTGAAACAAACATGTCATGTAATACAGTGTTAGGAAATTAAACTAATTACTGGTTCCATTCACAAGTTCTTCTAAAGTTTTACAATTAATGGCAGATTGTTATGTGCAAATCTAATATTAAATGTTATCAAAAGTACAATAATAACAATGGTAAACAACATGTTGTTTTATTTAAGATATTGTAGGGATTTTAGGTCCTTTAATACCTTTTCAGATTATCTCAGCACAACCATACATGTATGGAACTAATTTAATTTGCATGATGTTGTAATAAGAAAAAAATCTGACAGACTATGTCCTCTACTCTTTTATTGCTAAACTTAATAGTATATAATCCAAATGGGTTTAGAAAACTATCCATGTTCTTTCAATTTGAAACCTTAACAGAAATTAATATTATTTAAACATTTTATCAGTGTATGCGTACTGTTACAACTTACTTATTTCTTTAGCCATAGCCAAGCCCTGAGGGTAGATAATGGGGGAGAGTTTCTTCTCCTTCAGTTTTTCGATAGTGTCCTTGTCGTCTCTCAGGTCCAACTTGGTCCCAACCAGGATGATGGGCGTGTTGGGGCAGTGGTGTCTCACCTCAGGGTACCACTGGGGGAGGAGAGAAGAGGACAGAGTCAGAGGTTGCAGGATGCAAATGGACGGCATGGCAGACGGTGTGGAATGTGGGTGGGTTGCTAAAAGAATTTGCTGGTTCTTCTCCAAATTCAACATGTTGTGACCTTTGAGGCACTCGGGAGCAACAAGAGGATACAAACAGAACTGAACCCCAAATAATCTCCTTCAATTTAACTATTACTTCAGGAGTGTCTCTACAATAAATGAAAAAAACCTGACCTTTTCATAAAGCAATACAATGTCCCATATGCTGTAAGACATAAGATGTTTTATAAAACAAAGGCCAATGTGTATTTCCAGGTGACCGACATTAAGAGTTAGTTTTAGCCTGGAAATACGATTTCATTTTCATAAAATTCAGAAATGTTTTGTTATAGATTAGGGGACCATGAAATTATGACAAGAATCAATAATCAAGTTCTCTGAGTGATTGTGTAATTTAAGTTGATTTTAGGATTTAGGATTACTTTAGGATTTAAAATCAAATTTCTATCTCTGTTAGTTTTAGAGTTGTGTCAAAAATTCTCGGTCCCAACCTAATAAATTATTCTTGCATTCAAGCTGATCTGACCATGAAATTTCATGTTAAAACCTTCCAAACTGGCGAGATAAAGAGCAGGTTGTTCTCACCTTGGCACGGACGTTTTCAAAGGAGGCTGGACTGACTAGTGAAAAGCAGATCAGAAACACATCCTGAGGAGGGAAAAGACAATAACATTAATTCAATAGAACATTAAAAAACAGTTGTTGCACCTGGGACAAGAATAACAAGCATTGCCACATTTAAATTAACCAACACTATGATCTTGAAGATAAACTGATCCCAATACAATACTGACTTAATAGACTCCAAATGTTCAGACATGAGAGTTCACAAAACCAGACCAGTCTGGATTCTGTAGGTTAAATACAAACTGACTCCCACTTTCAGCTCCCTGTGAGTCTTTGGCACAGAGGCCAGTTTGTTGGAAGGACAAAGAGTGCAAACAAGAGCTCCCTTTCACTTCCTCCAGCCGTCCTCCAGACAGTGTATAGGTACTGTGGATACAAGGCTCTACTCTGCTGAGTGCAAAGACACTGTCTTAAGCATTACAGCCCAGTGAATAACTCAGAATCAATGCGGGCAAAGTGAAAACAGTGTCCATGCTGACATTGTCTGGCTGATACTAGTCTATGTACGGCAGTAGTCTGAGACAAGCAGTTGTTACGTGTGAATGCGTTCACATATACATACTGTCTGTGGGTAGGACAGAGGCCTGAGCCTGTCGTAGTCCTCCTGTCCTGCTGTATCCCACAGGCCCAGGTTCACTGGTTTCCCATCAACCATCACATTGGCAGAGTAGTTGTCAAAGCTGTAGAAAGACAGGTGGAGATTAGGTTCTAAAGTAAGCATACTGTAATGTACAACAGTGTAATATAGAATATGGTGAACAGATATTAATACATTTCTCTACACATTTGCCATATCAAAATATGCCTATTATCTTCCCATCACACTGGTGGGCTAGCTCCATCATCTAAACCTCAACACATTTCCATTTGCTGATCATCTCCATGTCACAGCTTTTCATTAGTGGTGTGTCTGTGTGTGTGTTACTTACACTGTGGGGATGTACTCCCCAGGGAAGGCATTGGTAGTGTAGCTGATGAGCAGGCATGTTTTACCCACAGCACTAGGAGAAGAAGGAGAGGAGGAAAGATTGACAGAGAAAATACAATGATGACATGTGGAGATTACAGACTGATTCATTCTCACAGTTTTGTTGATTACAGTTCATTCTTCAGTGCAATTGAGGCAACAACATGTGAATTTTACAGTATACATAATGTAGTATGTTTCACCTGTCTTGCATGACAAGTGAAGCATGCCCAGTTTAAACTGTGTTGCCTGATTTGAAGAGTTGTCATCACTTAAATTAAGCTTTTAGCTTCTATAGAGGGGTTTTCCGGACTGGGCGTCTGCAGTGCTGTACTATTGTCCATGTCCAATAAATATATGTACCCATTAACAGACACAGGATATGCACCCAGAAACAATAACACCTCAGGAGAGCTGGAAAAATGTTGTACATCACCACAGCCTCAAAAATAACAACGTCTTAGAGTAGCACTCAATAGACGGAC